TCTGAAAATTGAAGCAAGAAAACCTCAGCGGTGTTGCTGTACTTGGAAGCGCGTGCAAAGCATGACAGTCTTCTGAGCAAAACTTTTCCATTGCTCGCGCTACAAAGACGAGATGCAAATAACGAATTGGCAAACTTGCATTTTAGAAGATTCTGCACATATCTGAGGTAACAGAAATATTACTGCAAGATTGCTGAAAAAATAGATTGATGATGTAGTTGTGTGGAAGATGTATACGGTCAGCAAAGGCACGTCGTCTCGTATGAGCTAAAGCAAGGGCAAATTCCTGGCCCTGCTGAAGCCCCAGGGAGGCTTGATGGGACTCACCCCACACGTTATTAACATCAGTCCGGCAGGGTCAGTGGGCAGAGGCGTTAGTGGGGTCTGCCCTGCTCCCCTCAGACAATTCTCAATGAATCGGTGGTTGGGAAAATCCCTGTTGGTGGGGACGAGGTACGGTGCAAGGTGTCGTGTTAATACCACGCAGCTCCACCAGTGGGGAAAGGTGGGCTATTCGCACGGGCCGTTCAGAGCGGGAACAAAACGTGGATGCTCTGATAACCTACAGAGGAGGTTGTCAAGCCCGGAGATGGTCATGGCCCTCTGAGCTGCAGAAACTGGATACCTGATGTGAGGGGTAGGAAGATGCTTGCCTGGGCAGGGAGAAAGGCATGGCCAGACTGCCAGGTGGCTTGGGGTTGAATGAAGATGGGACCTGGGCAATTTTCAGCCTGGGAATTATGAAAAGAAGCTATTACAGGATGTTAATGTCATTTTTCTGACCCGATCCACTCGATAACCCTAGCAAATCCCGATGATGAGTCAATTTTCTATTGTCAGTGCCAGCACAGAGCGACACTAGAGACCACAAGGCAGAGACAGCAATGCTGAGAGAGCCTAACTGAGCATACAGCTCAGCCTAAACTACTTGCGTGTTTTGTTTTGTTCTTTTAATTCTTGAAAAAAATTAGAAAAGGATGGCAAATCTTACTAGAAGTGAAACAAAACCACAGGGGTATTTGTCTGCGGATTAAGCATTTTCAAGAATTAGCAAGAATAAATGTTTTCCTGTTTTTACTCTGTTTTCTGTACCTTAGGATCAAGCCATATAGGATATTTGCTCAGACTCCCAAGTTTTCTTATTTGGACTCTGTTATTTTAGAGAACTTGTGTTGCAGAACTGTGCATCCCAGGGTAGGAAATTAAGGTCGGAGATGAGAAAAACTAACCTAAAAGCCTGAAATTCTTTTAGTTTCTCAAAGACCACCCTGTGTGGGAGTGATAGATTTAAAAATAAAGTTATTAATGAAAAATCTCCAAGATCTTTGCGTGGACCAAGATATTTTGGTGGTACTTTCTCACTCTTTCTTCAGAAGAGGCACTGTGGCCTCACAAAATGAAGAATAGCCCTGCTTTTTCTCTAGCTTTAAAAATAATGGTGTATCTTGAAAAGCTGTCTCAGCAGTAGTGAAGGAGTGGGAAAAAAAGTGTATTATATCCCCATGGTTTCATACAGTGCAGCTGTGCTTACAGAGTGCATTGAGACTGAGACCAAAGGAAAGGCATGAAATAGTCCATGAAATGATCAGTTGAATCTAACAGTAAAGCCTCACACAACGGGGAGATCTATTGTCCAGGTATTCTATTGCAGATGGGAGTTTTTTGTCCTTTTTTTTTTTTTTTAGGGGGTAAAAAATCCAGACTATAATAAATTCAAGCCCTTTGTAGTAATAAAATTTTTACTGAAATCAATTGGAAAGTTATCTTCTGATAGGAAGTCTACCTTACTTTGAATTAAAATCTTTCAATATTCTTACAATATATTTGGATTAAATATCCATATTCTGTGGAATTAAAAGGTTTGATTTTACTTCTGGTTGAATGTCTGTAGGATGATGATCAGATTTGAAAACAACCAGGTCTTGAGATTTATTAAATCAGTTTTTAAAAAAATTCATTTTTTTGAAAGAAGCAAGTATGCATCAACACACAGCCTTCAACAGTCCCTCCTAGGTAATTATTAGTAGTACAGGAATAATGGAACAAGTATCGACCAAATGTAATATGCAGTTGCCACAGTGGAGCTATTCCCCCTGCGTCGACTCTAAAGTACAAGTGGTTAGTTTATAACTCTCTTTAGGTTACAACATTTAACGTTTCTTCAGTGTTTATTCATTCTCTTCCCAAAGAATGTTCTGAAATACGGAGTTTACAACCTGTGGCTCATGTGATGGTAGTGGAAACAATTAAGGTAGAAGCTTTCAAAGCCACCACTGGGAGTTTGATGCCCAAACTCATTAAGTTTAATAAGAATTGAGCTGCCAGTCGTCTTAAGTGGTTTCTAAAATCTCAACCCATAAAAACACCTCTCTACTGGTTCCAGTTTACTAGGAGCTCAGAGCAAGGTAAACATGTGTAACAAAATAGTAGGTGTTAAAAGGTGGAAAGTATGTGTTCAGATGTCCCTAAGACCATGCAAGGAAGCAAATGGCGGCCCCCACCTTGAGCTGGCAGATGTGGGCTGACATGGGGGCTGCTCCTACCTTCAGCATATCGGGGAATTGCTGACTGATCAGAACAGGAGGCCCAGTTTCGGTGGCAAGGAGAAGAAAGTCAATGGAAACAGAAATCTTGGCAACAGCTCAGTTCCAGCTGTGATGATCACATCGTTTGTCTACTTTGGGCTCGTGTCTGCTCCATGCTCTTGCCTTCTTAACATGTTTCTGCCCACCACAGCCTTGTGGCCAGGGTAGTGCTCTTCTCCCCGGTATGCAGATGGACGGCTGGGTTGCAGGAAGACCTGGGTAAATTCACACCACAGAGTGAAGAACAGAGGTATCCAGAGCAGTACCAGAACAAGCTGTCTTTGGGCATATCAGCCCGCTGGTATTCCCATTGCTTTGGCATAAGTGGAGCAGGCAGTGAGGCCGGGGCTTTCTTACCACCCGTTGCTGCCTGCTGCCATTGCAGTTACCCGCACGGTGTTTGTAGATGCTTGGTCCAGGTCCTTCCTACCTGCCTAACCCGTCCTGTCCAAGTTCACACTGTGTTATCTTCCAAGCTGCTAAATGGCTGCATTTGCGTGTTGATAGTTCACTGATCCACCGTCATGGTTGGATAAAAATTAAGAACTGTCTGCTGTGGCCTGAGGGACCCACCCAATGCAAACCTATGAGAGCCTTTCCTTTTACCTGAGTGTGGTTTTGCTTCAGCCATCAGCCGATGTCACAGCCTAAGAAGTCTTGAAGGCTTTGGAGAGCACCAAGATCTCTCAAAGAAAGTTGCTGCACTGATGAAAACTCGTCCTCAACATGAGTCACAGAACAAAGTCTTAATGGGGAAAAAAATCCAGAACCAGCAGATCTCTCTGTGATGTAAAATAGAGCATGGAGTGAGTATGAGTGAGTTTGAAAAGGACTCACTGACAGTCTGAATGCTTGGAAAAAGAAGAAAAATGTGGGATTTTCTTGTGTCTTTTATTAATGAAAGCAACCTTGGAGAATTTTAGAATTAGTTTAAACAAGTCTCTCTTTTCTGTATCTGTCATATGATCTCTGAAGAACTTCATTAATGTTGGCTATGAGTGAGAAAGTTACTGTAGTTTTTGCCAGTGAGTCTCGTAGTAGCAACGATTAATTATCGGTAGCTCTTGGAAGGACCTTTGGGTGAAACATGATGCAGTGGAAATAGAGATGACCATCTTGACTGCTGTTGTAATGGACTTCAAAAAAATCAAAAAGAAAAAAAGCTGCCATTAGTAGTAGATGTGACTTTTTTGGAAGAGAACAAAATGTTCCATAAATGAAACATGTGGTTTCACTTGCAGCACATTTTGTACATTGTCACCAATGAAGTTTAGGATTTTTTATTACTTTTTCATTAAAATGTCTTACTGGTTTCACTCAGGAGGCAAAACTTTTCACGTGGCTTTAATTGTTTCTGTCATAAAAGTCATAGCATCCATGTAATAGAAATAGTTTTGCAGACCACAGCTTCATATTGCCTATTAATTCTCTTCCATTTTCTGTACCTACAACTCATTGGGCCATCCCAGAGACAGAAAAAGTTCCTCTTGTGCAATTAAGACCAAGCAGGAGCTTCTACTGAAGTTAGGGGGAAAAAAATCACTTTGTGTCAATATTGGTTTATTAGATTTTTGTTTCAGATATCTTAGCTCACAAATGTAAGTTCACATGGCCACATATCAAAGGATAGAGTTTGTATTGTAATTCTATTTCTAGAATTAGTGAAACTCTAGAAGATGAAAACAATAAAAGGCCTTTTTCTGCATAGTTCCAGTCAGATGCCAGAGGTGGTAGCATTTCAATGGAATGAAGAGCTCTGGCAGTATTGTTTCAAGGTGGCTTTGGACAGGTCATTTACCCCCTTTTTTGCTTCATTTCCCCATTATACAAAAAGTGCTAGAGTTCAGGTCTCACATATGCCATTCCAGCAGCCTAGCTATTAGACCATGCTTCTGTCATCAGTCTGGGCTTCCCTGTCACCAATCCTAACTCGGATGAACAACAATTATTGTTGCAGTCGAAACAATGACTTGTTTTCCACAGATGATATCCAAGGTTGAAAAAAAAAAAGAAGGGAATTATTGTTATCTCATTAATTTAAGATCAGCTTCTGTTAAAGTATCTGTTTTCCTCAGAGAGAGTCACAATTTTGCCATTTAACCTTCAGCCCAGCGCGGGAGGTGACGTTGACCCCTACCGCAGGCTCTAAAGCCTGTAAGAAGTAATTAAAATGCCAAAAAACAGCAATATCGTGTGAACTGCCTTTTCCCCCTTTTTCAGTTTAGTGTTCTTTGGAAAGCTTGCTAGGAGATGCCACTGCTGTCTTTAGTTGCTGCCCCAGAGCAAAAGCCTTTCTCCTTGTACACCTTCTTAGCAGTTAGGAGCACCCACCAAGTAGTGTAGTCCTCTGCTTTCACTTTTTCTTAGCACGATCCCTTGCTTATTCATCAAATGTTTAAATGTTGTGTTTTGCAGTTCAAGGACGACAAAGACAAGCCCAGTCTTGGAAGGGTCCTCAGCAACAGCCCTGCCTGCTGTCCAGCTTTCTGAGCAGGTCCCACTGACGTCTCCTTCCCTGAAGCCCCTGCAGATGGACGAAGAAGACAGCCTGTCTCCTCACCTCCTCTTGCCAGATAGCATCAGCCAGCTGGAAGAGTTTGGCAGGCAGAAGAAATGGCACAAGAAGCAGCACAAACACCATCGCCAGAGGCAGTTCAATGACCTCTGGGTTCGGATAGAAGACAGGTGAGTCATAACTTTTATGGTCCCTGTCCTCTTCCTGCTGTCTCCTAACTACTTGCTCTTTACAGATCCCAGCTCTTGTTGATTAGACCATAAGGAGGGTTGGAGAAAGCCTAAATGGGAGAGACAGGGAGTGAGGTGATGTTTTTGGAGCTTAATGAAGAACTAGGAGGAAGACTCATAGGCACGTTTGATCTAAAAGTAAAGACAAAAAAAGCTAACGCTTAGAATATTTAAAATATGCAGAAACAAAGACTTGTCAGAGTAAAAACAGGAAAAAAAAGACAGTGGAAAATATTCTGTGTTTGCCCTCTTTCTTCCAATAATTATTTTCCAATCTTTACTGTCAGTTTTCAGCCCAAAGACTCGCCCATTTTCCAACCATGCAGAATATTCCTGGGAGTTTTTAAGATTCTGACATATCTGACTTTCAATCTTTTTAACTGTGTTCTGGGGCTGAAATGTTTTAACATCTCAGACTGCATTGAAAACAGTAAACTGAGGCAAAATGAAGTACTTAACTAAGGCCTCTATGTGAAGAGAATGGAGGTAGGCACATTTCTGTGGCCATTCCAATCTTGGTCCAAGGTTAAAAACTCCCATTCAGCGTTTGAATAGGAGCCTTCATGTTTGACCAGGGCTTCTTGATGTGTGCTTTTAGGATTCCTGGGCAATTTATTCTCCCACCTCTAAAACTGGGAAAGCTCTTAGTGCCTTTATCCAGGCCAACTCATGGGCAGATAAACAGCCACAATGTTTATAGATCTTCTAACAAGTAAAAGGAATGAAATAATCTGTTGGGAACTGGCTGCTCGCCTATACACGTAATGATTGTCTTTGAGCATAGTCTTATTCCCGTTTTCATAGCACCTAAATTCCTTGCAAGTAAAATGAGTCAGAGTCTCTCAGAGGCTACTCCCTTTGCTAAGGAAAAAACTCAACATATTTGTGTTTTGGGACTTTTTTAATTTTTATTCATTCTTTTTAATGGAGCAGTTGCCTCTTTTTTTTTGTAGTTTATTGTATTCTCAGGGTGAGTGATGTAAGGGTTGTTATTAAGGTGGTGCGTATTAATGTTAACCTAGTAAGGCTATTTCTGAGATTTAATGCCAGCCTTGGTAAGAAGGATTCACGTGTTTTGTTCTCAAAGTGTGTTCAGTGGTTGGATCCTCTCCACAGAGGATGTGTAAGCAAGAGGCATTTGGTTCAACATAGTCAATTGCCTCGAGGACAAGGGACTTTTCTATCTTTCTTCTGCTTGGGGGCTGCCGAGATGTGGTGTCCCATGGTGTCCCAGCATGTCACAAGAGTGTCTGGTCTAGCTCACCGTATGTGTCACACAAGTGAGGTGCTTAAATAGATCTGGTGGGAGCCTGGCAGTTAGGCACAATCCTCCTGCCCCCATCCTATCTATCCAGAAAGGATATTGGATATTGGGCCTGATACGGCCGTGGAAACGTGCAGCTGGAGGCTTAAAACAGTGGTGCTTCCATAGCTTTGGCGGCCTTTTGTGCCTTTTGCTCTTTTTATTTCAGTAAGAAATGTTCCTAGGAAAAGTATTTAAAAGGGTACTTCCCCAGGTTAGAGTTAAATTATTCACTCTGCGCTCCTATGAGATTTTCTGAATCAAAACCTTTTATCCCTCTACTTCCATTTCATAAGGATGGAGATTGGGATAAGGAAACATAAGTTTCCGCTCCCACCATGCTGGTGATGAACCAGACACTGTGTGTCGCCTGCCTTGCTGAAAGATCCTGGGGAGATATTAGTGGGAGATCACAGCCCTAGAAATGAGGAAAGGCTGGAAGAAGGGAAGTCTGCCTTAGTGCTTTCAGATGGTTTTAGTGCTTCTACAGTTCTGGAGTAACTTCTGGTGTTTTCCTGGAAACAAAACAAAACAAAACAAAAAATACAAATTGTTCAGCTAAATCAGAGACTTACAACTAGCTCTGGTTTCCCCATAAATTGGATGGTGTCTCAACTTTCATAAACCAGCTGCTGCATATTGTGCTTTTGGCAGTTGGGTTTCATCAGCGTTAATCGCAAGCTGGACCTTGCACAAGGCAATAAACAGTGAGTTCTCTCTAACTGGTTCCTTTCTGATTGGCAAGAAAAGAGCAGAAATGTGTGCCTGTCACCAGCCTTTGTAGCGTGATCATTCTTGGGAGGAAGCAGCTAGGATGGCTAATAATATGGGCAATGGAGTGTTACCTGTGCAGGAGGGAAGCGTGTGAACTTGCATTGTGTTGCCTCAATGATGTTCACCAGCACTCAACAGTGAGATGGTTAGCGCTCATTTTTGGAGGATAGTCAGTGTATTAGAAGATCATACTCTGCCTGTCCCATAGATCTGTCGTGCATTTGCATATACTTAAATTGGAGCCCCCCCATGTTCTATATGGGCTGAGGTCTTTGCATACAGTATTACCTTGAGCTACGGCCCCGTATTTCCAAATGGTTCTTCTTCCAGTTTGTTTCCTAACTCACCTGTTGTCACTTGAAACTTGACTTGTTCACCTTTGAGACAAAGTAGAGGGATTTAGGTCATTGTTATGGCTTTTGGGTGAAAGTTGCGTAAAACTCATTGTTTCCATGTGAGGTCTCCAGGATTCTGCTGTTTGAGCTGCCTTTCAACCTGAAAAGTCAAAGAGAAATACACAGGTTGAGGACAAATATACGCAAATTTAAACCAGATTATTGATTCTTGTATGAACCTCATTGAACTGTGAAATGACTGTGGTTCATACAGCTCTTTTCCAAAGCTTTATTGACCGTGGATTAGAGGACTTTATGAACCATGAATTGCAGGGCTTTTATGGACTACGCATTTCTAGGCTATCTCATACACTTCCATGGAAATCTTGGGGTGTTTTTTTAAGCTACCAACACAGAAACAAAGGAAATGAACACAGGAGAACAATCTTAAAGGAACATCAAAGGTCTGACTCCAACTTATAAAAGCCAGGAAATCCATAATTAATGGTTCCACTAAGACTTCAGCTCACACAGTCGGTCAGGTCTGATCTGAGGTTATAGCTACAATCTGAAATGGCCTCATGAAAAAGGAGTCATTTAATGTCACACGTCATTATTAGTATTTACTTTCAGTTTTACCTTGGAGATTGTCCTTTACTTTTTGTTCTGTCTTAACAGCTGAGGCATTTGAGTTGGCACCCCTGAGTGGACAGTGTTTAGATTTGTGTGTTGGAGGGTTAGTAATGCTGTGGAGGATGAGAAAGCTGCTGCTCTGTCTTCTCCCTGTCTTCGACAGAGCTAAGATTGCTGATCTCCTGGGTAATCGGCGACACTGAAGGCTATTAAAAAATAAAAAATGCTGATGAAATGTGTGGTTTCCTCTCCCTTCTGCCTCCTTCCCCCAAAATCTAAACAAAATGAAAAAGACCCGCCTGGCTGCAGTTTGTGTTTGAAATTGTTTGTCAAGAATCAAAATTAAATGGAGATTTCAAGTAGCGGGATTTTTTCTTTTAACTACTTGATTTTGGGGAAATGTGCAGATCTGAAGTCTGTCTGGGAGGAATTTGAACTTAGACAAAACTTAAACCCTAGCTAGCTCCCGTAGCCAAAAGCCAGCCGGGGCAGCAGGGAAGGGAGGCAGAACCCTTGGGCTGGAAGGC